TAGTTGGTTGGTAAACATGGGAAAAAGTAAGAGTTGCGTTATTAAAAACTTCTAATACGGCATTCAATTTTTCAACAATAACAAATTCAAAAGGATTAATGATTATACGAAGTTCATCCCTAAAAAATTCAGCAAGTTCCTCTTTATATCTTAGGATCTGTGCAATCAATTTGTAAGTACTATTCCATCTAATGTTGATATCTCTGGCAAAACTTATTTCTTTTTTACCCTTAGACTTACAGAACATCTTCCAGGATCTCAAAATAAGACGAGCCCCCCAAATTTTTTTAATTCCTTCTTTAATATTTGTCAAACTACGCCCAAAGCTTGTAGTTCCTGTTGAACACATAAATTTAAAACATGACAGGCACACCGTTGATGCAGAAATCTACCCATAGTCGTAGACGGTGGGCAAATTTTCTCTAAGTCTAGGAATAGCAGCAGTATTATTAGTAGCATTATCAAAACCAAATGAAAAAACTTTTTCAGATAAGTTATATTCCCGCAGAATACTCTGAAGCAATAGGAAAATATTTTCAGCAGTATGCTGATCATTGAAATCACGAAATGCAAGAACACGTTTATGCATAATCCAATCACTATTTATCCAATGACAAGTAACACCCATATAAGACAAATTATGATAAGTTTCACCCCAAATATCAGAACAAATAGCAACACGAGAATTAAAATTGAGAAAAAAATTTGCCAAATTAATTTTTTCCATTTTATACTGGCGAATAATTTCTCGTTTAATTGTTTTTCTTGAAAAACCTCGTGCTTGAGGGTTTAATGTCTGTTGACAATAATAAATAAAATCAAGTTTTTCAGAAAACATGTATGGCATATTTTCTTCACAAATCATTTCGGCCTTTTTTTGCCTATTTTGCTCGTCGCTATAAGCAAAAAGGCCGCCCTTACCTCTGTTAGCAAACCGAGAAATTTGGGTTTGCACTTCTTGTCGTCCCTTTTTTTTGGCCTCGTATTTGGCGTATTCCACGGGATGCCTCGACCTTAGGTGTTTTTCTGGACCGCCATAACCGCCGGAAACTCCCATTTTTATGACGGTCCCGCAATGTTTACAAGTTCCATAAACTATGCCATCTTTTGTGTCTTTGTCAAAATGATAAACAAATAATTCTGATTTATATTTTTTTTACCTTTGTCCGGACCTCGAGAGGTCTCGGGCTCACCTGCCTCCACGTCGACGTCTTTGCTTTGCGGTGTAGGCTCATCGTCCCCGTCAAGATTATCCAGTCCTGCTTCATCAACATCTTCGAATAGACTATCAAGAGTGGGGAGATTCGCGTCTCCTCTACCAGAATAAATCTGGTTGAATTCTTCATCCGTCATAGCGTCCCCGATTAAATGATCTGGGACAGTAGGAAACGAAGAGACGGAGTGGCTTCCTCGAGAACCGTGTCCGCGTGAGGTCGAACCGTCGGAGGTGGCTTTAGCTTTGCCTTTACTCAATCTTCGGTTGACGTCGCCCATATCCACGGACCGTCTACTGGATTCTCTCGACATTTTAATATATATTTTTTTGATATTAAAATATTATATTACTTTTGGAAAAATTAAAAAAATTTCGAAATTTTATATATTAAAATTTCGAAAATTTCAAAAAATAAAGAATATATTTAAATTATTTAAAGATTAAAGAATATATTTAAAAATTAATAATATTTAAAATTTTGAAAAATTTGAAAAAATTTCGAAATTTTATATATTAAAATTT